GTATTTCTTCCTGTTGATCCTACTTATTCTCAGGGCATTATATGGTGTTGCTCTACTTTTTGCAAAGTGTCCAGTTCCACTGGACTGAGTAGGCAGAGTACTTTAGGAAGCTTGTGTTCCCTTCTGGATCTCTGAAGTTGGTACACTGAGCTCATTCAGCTAAGAGTACTACATCTTTATTTATACACTGCTGGAAGCGTGAAGGCTGTACGGCAGGATGGGTGTTGAATCATCATGAATTTCAGCTTTTCCCTAGGCTATTAACGTTTTACTGTGTCTGATAAGAGGTAGTTGCTGTTAAGATATCTTTTGCTGTTGAGATTCTTATGCATGTGTTGGATTAAACCGAGCTGTGTGTTGGAGCTCATTTAACTGAAGTTAGACTTAGGTCCACGTGAGTATAGAGACACAAGTATTGCCTGTTAAGAAGGGATATCAGACTTGTATTTTAATACAAAATATAACTCGTATGTCAGGACAGTCTCTTCCAATACTGTTACCCTGTGACTTCCTTCAAAGGGTCAAAGCCTTTTGCTATACGGGAAATGAGAAATACAATGGCAGTTTAGATGGAGAGTATGTAATTACTGAAATTCAAAATTCCACTAGTTTTCATTAATGTTAATGAACTCATTGATTGCTAAAAGAATGATGCTGGACCTTTGCCACATTTGGTTATAACTTTGGAATCACTTTTTATCTGTTTTGCTGTTGAAGTGTTTACACAAAAAGGTGCAGTGTCTCACTCCAGGGCTGGTGTACCACTTGATGCACAATTTTGAGAAGAGAGCCATGCGCTGAAATGACATGAAATAAAAGTGTTTATTTATTTCACAGAGTTGACAACTTTTAAATAACTGCAGGATCAAAATGAACAGCAGTAATTTCTGCCTGAATGTCTCTTTCTGTTCAGTTTTCAGGTTCTTGTAACTTCTCATTTTAAGCCCCAACTCAAATACCATTGTAGTATGAGATTAATGTGATAATATCTATGAGTATGTAGATATAAGTACATTGAAAAATTTAATAATATAGTGACTCTATTCTGTAATCTTAAACATTAATAACCTGCATAATTCCTGGAGAATGTAGCTTAGTTTTACAGAATGCTTTGGTGCTTCATATACTGAAAAGGAGTGTGCAATACTAGCGATTTGCTGCAGACTATGGATGTGAATTAATTTTCTTGTCTGCACATGCTTCCTTTCAGTGCAGCCTCACCTCTGTTTATCAATTTTTTCTGGATGAGCCAGTATTGATTCAGAGACCCAGAATATACCATCTTCTGCATCATTCGTCCATAAATCAGTGTGTTACAGCGTAGTTTCTGCAACTAACTGAAATATGATTGCCAAATTTATTCTGTTTCAGATCCCTGACCTTATTTTATGCATATGCTTGTTTAGAAGTGACTTCCAAAGTCTCACTTGGTTTATCAGTTATGAAAGTTCTGTACAGTTATAAGCTATGGCCTACACAAGGGCTGTATTTCTTTGCTTATCATTTTATGGAAGGGCTGGATGTAGCTTTGCAGCCTAGGAGAAGGAACCGAGCTGATTTTCAGAAATGCGGCTCCTCCATTGTTCCTGCATGGCACATGTAATACTCAGAACAGTATTCATTAAAATTAATCTCTTTTTTTTAATTTTGTTTTTCTACAGTGTTTTTAATCCAAAATTCTGAAAGTAGCTTTTCTATATAGAAGAGATGTGTGAGATACGTTCACGTGTATAAAAACTTCTATGATCTCAGACTGTCTGCAGCTTTGGATCTAATTCAAAGACATACATAGGGTTAATTTAAAACATGGAAATAGTTTCATCACTTTCAGTAGTCCAATTGCGTGTTCCGTGAAGTAAGCATAAGAGTTGCAATTCTGGGCCTCCATAAAAACTGGTTCAAAAAGGGAAGATGTCTTCAGGACCTGGACCAGAAAGAGAAGGTGCACTCTTCTGGGTAAAGATATTAAACCTGTTTTTCATGCAACACCGTGAATCCTTGCGTGATAGCTTTTACTTTACTTGCAAATGAGCATCAGGATGAAAATTCGATTGGACTTATATTAAACACAGTCTAAAAAATGGCAATATAGAAAATGTAACTTAATTTTTTTTTTCATTTGGAGAATATGTATCAGTGTGTCATAGTAATTATTAATATTTCTTAAAAGAAGTACTGAAACTATTTTTTCACACCACTTTAAAGGATTTTTAATTAGAAAAGCACATGGTCAGAATAGCATGATGATTTCAAATACAGATTCAGTAAAGGCAAGAAAATCTAACCTTTTTCAGCTTTCCACAAGGCTAACAAAAATGCTGAAGAATATAGTCAATAGTTAAAATTTTATTTATAATATTACAATTTTTGGTATAACAGTGTTCCACACTTATTATCCATTAAGTTATAAGCATAAATTATAGTGATCTAAAAATAAAACCCTTTTGTCTGTTTTCTGGTCTCAGCTATGAAGAGACATATTGCACAAAACCATAGAAAGCATTATGGGCCTTGCTTATATGTATTTATATATTTAATAATCCCTTTTTATATTCTGATTGTTTTCAGTGTTTGCTTACATTTCATGTGTCTTGCACATTTGCTGGCAATAAAACAGTGCCATCTCTGTTTCTGCTGTTTGCATTTTATCTGTTATCAGGGAGAAGTTGAACATTGTCAGCCTTTATTCGTGTAATTTAGCACCCTGCCTAGGCTCACAGGTACACGTAGCAGTCATCGATGCAGTGCCCTTAGACAGACACTTTGCTCTGGAATGTTTTTGATAATCTTTTCCGACAAGTGTTTTGTTTTTGTTGGTTTTTTTTGCTTTAAATTTAGAAATCATTCTTACCATCGCTGGTCTTTGCACTGTGTGCTGTGCAATTGGTGTTCAAAAATGCCATCAAAGTGTAGTGTAGATATACACAAAAACAATAACAAATAAATTGAGTACAGTTCCAATAATCCCAAGCAGTGCTAAAATAGATTCTTCTTTTTCCTCTTTCTCCTCTTGCCTTTTTACATCTTCCAGTGTTGTGATTGCAGAGGTCCCCATTTTTCCTGCAAATACCTTCACCAGTATTCTGGCAGCTAGCTAGAAGAAAGAAAGCAAATGGTAAATTTGGTCTGACAAACATTCAAGATTTGATCTTAAAAAAAAAAAAAAAAAAAAAAAACAAAAACCTGTACTTCTTTACTCAGTATTTCTTAATGCTATGTTTATTGAGTTGTATTCATCTTTTGTTGTTGTATGAGCACATCCATGTTAAAAGTATTTGTTCTGTAGATACAGTTTTTGGTAGAAAGAATGAAAAATAGCTTGATGCTTCAAGCCAATTAATAATGTTTTATTATAAAATAAATTTAAAAATTGTCTTTAGCCAGCTAATTGGTTTCTTTATGAAACACCAAATTGATGAAAGCAGGTATGTGAGCATGGTCAAATACTCTGAAATGCCTGGGGAGATGATGTGAATTTTCAGCTGTTGTTAAATATTTAACTGTCACAGTACAAAACCAGTTGAAAATATTCATGTCTGCTGTTTTCAGACATGGAAAATATGCTTCCTTAACCCAGTATCACAGTCTCTTTTGACCAGTGAGCCCTTAGGAGGCAATTGCAGGTGAGATCTTATCCTTTTACTTGCCTAATAGATCAGCTTTTGGGCATCCATGCAACAGTAAACATTTGACAGAAAATGTCTGGCTCTTCCAATATAAAGGTTGTTCTTATTATATATGCTTATTATTGCAGTATGCCAAAGGACAGTAGTACTTTTATAATAACAAAATTCTGTGCAATATAGGGGCCTGAGAGAGGTATTTACAGATGCGTGTATGATTTATTGCCTTTTTTGTTGCAAAAGTGAGGTTGACAGGTCATCTGTATTACTTAGATACTCTTGTACTCTTCATTTACAGCCAAATATCCTCTAGAAGCATATTCCCTGTAAAATTATGTTCATTGGCTGAGATGGTGATGTTATATGTAATCTGCTATGCTGTTGCAGTCTTATCGATCAGAAATTTCTAGTCTTAAACCAAAATTTGACTGGGATTTCTACTAGTTCAGAAAGCTCCAATTTACTGAAAATTTGCAGTCACGTTTTATAGTGCAATAGTGCTTTTCTCTCCTGGCAAATAGCTTTAATCATTGGAGATAAACGTATTTCTGCTGTGAGTCTAATTAAAGCCGTCAGCTCAGAGCACATCTCACAGAAAGGTTTAAAAAAAAAAATGTTTCTTACCCTACATTGCATCAGGAATAAAATGTCATCAGACATGCTTCTTACTCGTCGATTCAGTGGCAAACGAGGCTTTTATCTTCATGAAGGGGCTGGTTTCCTCCCTCAGACAGACCAGATAGGAGCATGAACAGTTTCTTGATGAAGAAGTTCATCGGCGAGGATAATAATGTTACAGAATCTTCCGAATGACTGGCCTTCTCTCAGTAATCCACTACAGCAAGGGCAGTCGAAAAACAGTGAAAACCCTTCCTGGTAACGATCCTCACTGTTGACTAATTCTCATTAAAATTGAGGATTTTTTTTCCCTTAGATGATGCAGAGCAACGAAATGAATGCGGTTCGGTTTTGCTTTAAAAAAAAAAAAAAAAAATAAAAAAAAAAAGGCAAAGAGCTCCTGGTTTTATTCAGTTATACTTAGTTATTTATGAAGACTTCCGAAAAGCCCAGCCTTTGATTTACTCCTTGTGGCAGCCGTCTGAAGAGGCTTTCTCACGTTGACATGCTGTAATTCCAAACGCAGCGACCTACGTGCAGTCACACTATGTAATTTTAGTCCAGCCTGGAAAAGGATGAAAAGAAGTCAGCTTTCCTGGCAAGAGTGTGAGCGCTGCCACACACCTGCGTTCAGAGCCGCCGGAAAGAATCCCAAGGTATTCTTCAGAGCATTGCATAACTTAGC